CTTTCCTGGCCCAGGATCTCACCAAGAACACAGTGGCCAACTGACCTATACTGTGATCTGCTTATTAAGCATGTCTGGTCCACCAGACCCTGCACCAGGAGTGCTACTAAGTGTACCTGGAGACCACCAGCAGAAGACAATTGCGCCAGTCGCAGTTTCACTCTGCAGTCACACTTCATCACAGGAACAGACACATTCCGTGAAGCTCCCTAGCCAGCAAAAGCGTACACTCCATGTCCTAGCCCAAGTCTATGTCATCCAGAATGCGACCAATGTGAGGACTGACAGGCACTGGATCAGAAAAAGAAATTTAAAATTTTCAAAATGTTCAAACATTCATTCAAATCCGTGTAATTATTAAGTGTTTTGAGGAATCTTTACTAATCCTCTGAAGAATCATTAGTAAAAATAGTGATTATTCCATTCTACAAATCCTTCTACAAATGTGACCACGCGTAAACCACATGATAAAAGAAGAAGCTGCAATTAAAAAAGGGTTATGGAAAAATAAAAGAAGTTTATGTAAAACAGTGAAAGAAAGTGATTAATCACTGGAAAAATGTTACATATTAATGTGACACACAAATACTACATGTGAGGTAACAGAACTGCAGAAGGGTACCCAGGCAGAACATTGGTAGAACCTGGAGCTGGAAAGGTAGAACAAGACCTAGTGGGTAGTGGGCAGAGAGTCTCTACTGCATCCCTCACACCTGGGCCCCTGGCATGCATCACTCCATCTGACAGTCCAAGAGCCACACACAACCATTTGTCACGCTAAATGACAGCATTCTGGAATGAACCCACCACTCAGAGAATGGGGTAAAGTGACCCTTGCTTCAATGAGCCACTTGGCCTGTAATCAGACAGTTCTGACACCAGTTTTCATGCCTACTGCTCTACAGTGTCCCCAGTTGATGGGTAATAATGTTATAAACACACTGTAAGTAGGCAAAGGTAATAAAATTGTGGACCAAGATGTTTTCATGGCTTAAACATCACAGAAAACAGTGGTAAACCTAAGGAAAGGAGCTTACATCATCCTTTCTTCTTGTATAGTTTAGGGCTAATTCTTGATGTGGCTTACACACAGAGTAAAACATATAAGTAAAGTTTTCTAAAATAACTTTATAAATGCTTTTCTAGTAAAAAAGTTGGTAAAAAATCCAAGTGCAACACAAAGGACTGAATCTTGAGCAATACAAAAAATACTTGTGTCAGAGATTACCAAACAATCACTTTGTCCCAGAAGTCCAGGAGAAAAAAAGTGAAGTGCAGACAAAAAACCTCAATGTTTTTAGTACCAAAGAAGATCTGTCTGCTATCAACCAAGGGCAAATCTATGTCCACAGTCAATAGAGCAGCTTACTGCAGGCCTGCTGTAGACTTTTGATAACAGATGCTGTTTCATACAGACACTTCCTTTTTTCTCTTGGTTGCAAGAGACTGGTTTTGCAATATTAAAATACATCTGCTTTTCTTAGGCACCTGTAATTCTTTGCTTTTACAATAAGACATGCCAAAGTTCATTTAATACAGTGTTCAAAAAACTGCTGGTCATAAGAAGCCAAAGAGGAAAGGAGGTTTCAGCTGAACACATTTTTGCGAAGCAAAGAGAGTTTAAAACAAATAGCTTCCTACAGGATTTGCAAATACAAAAGCTCAATCAATTCTTTGGCAGCTTACCCAGCCCCAATGACAAGTAAAATTCAGCTTTTTGAGTGCACAGGGAGAGATCATCTAGATCAGATAGTTCCTACAGAAATATAAATGTCCATATTTTACACATTAAAATCGGAAAATAACATGCAGTATCTTTTAAAAACAATTAAGCTTATAATAAACAAATGGTAATTCTGTTGGTCCATATTTTCTCAAGAGATTAATTGTTAGATTCCTCAAGCACATCATCTCACTAGCACACATAATGTGTATTTGTACTTGCAGATCATCTTTGATACAAAAGGGATCTCTCTTGCAAAAGAAGCAGCTCAGTTGCCAAAAGAAGTGATGGATGGAAAGGTACCTGAGAAACAGTTTGTTATAAAGCTTTAGCTTGGGTCAGGATGAAATCTTCTTACTGTTTTTCCAACCAGTAACACAACTGTTAAAATTTTGAGATCTATTATTACAGCATGACGGCTCTGTCAGAGGATTTACACCATATTTTGAACAGCAATTTTCTCTTGCTTAATTTTAGTTTGACAGAGATTTTGTAGTTATATGCAAATTTAAAGTAATTGAGATGCTGCCTTCAAAGAACAATATTAAAATGCTCCCAAAAACAGATGTCAAGCATTTGGCAGTTTAACTAACAGAAAAGAAAACACACAGCTGTATACAAATACACAATTTACAGCTGCTGCATTTTCTTCCTTTTGACTCCCTTTACACTAACCAGAATTGGAAGTAGATATTTGTAATCGTTTTAGTGGAGAAAAACCTGTACTGAGAAACACTCATCAGACAGGAAGTGCCAAATTAAATGTGCTTCATACAACCAGGACTGATACCCTTGTATCTAAGCATGCAGCTAAGCAGCTCTTGCTGAGTTTGCAGGACTAAGACATACATTTCTTTCTTCAGCCATGTTGTCATTCAGACATACACTGATTTTATTGTTCTTCTAATGAAATGAACAGGGAGGATTTTATTTTTGAAAATCAATTTAAAATAACGCCTTATAAAAGCAAAATACTTTTGAGGGCTTGGATACAAGAATGCTACAAGACTCCATGGAAAACTACGATTTTTTTGTTGTTGTTTGCTGATGCAAATCCAGCAGAATCACAGAGAATACTGCTGCCCCTCCTGGTGCTAAAACAGATCTAGGTTTTTGATTTCTAAGTGAATGCCTGAAAAAAAAAATAAAGACAGAACTTGCAGCCTCATATAATTTTAACATAATATATTTAGGCATTCAAAATTCTGTTACTAGTCCCTTGGAATTTCATTCCTAGGACTAAATTATTAGGACATGAAAACAATTCATAAGTTATATATAAGTGCTATTCATAAGCTCACATAAAAATCTGTAGACTATTACTACTTTCATCTCATTTTTATGGACTCCTCTCCCCAAATAAATCAATCACAAAGTTAAACTGAACAGAGGGAGCTAAGTTCTCCACAGGGAGACAGTGGAGATTACAAACATAAGTCAAATAGGAAGAAGAAAGCTGAGATAATGGATGGTTTATACTGTGTTACTTCAAAGCCCTGAGAGATGGTTGAAAGTGCTAAGATAATATACAATAAGCACTGATTCCAAAAGAAATAATAGAAGCCTCTATTGCCAAACATGCAACTTTAAGTAAAAAAAACCTCACAACTTCTACAACTACTTCTCCAACAGACTTTCTGTTACATCAAGAATCTTCTAAGGATTTTTCAGCAAAATAATTAGCCTTAAAACTAGCCTTAAAGTAGTTGTACACATAACTACCAGTATCAGGAGATCTTGTCAAGAGTCTTCCACAAAGACAACTACCTTCTCAGCAAAGGGCACATGGAATTAGTCACACTACACACTATTAAGGGAAGTCACACATAATAGTCAGGGCAAACCACTGCATTTTCAGATATAATTAGAAGCAATTTCCTCAAGTTCTTTTTCAGCTATGCAAATATTCAGTTATTCAGAAAAAAAGAGTAAAGACTGGTCATCCATCGTAAGAGAGGGTTTTTTTGGTTCAGAACTATGTTTTATGTGTTGAAGATTCAAGTAATGCAATACTGCTACAAACATTTTAACTCTTCCCTCCCTGCCCACCCCCAATTATAATCTCTTACTTAAATCACTACTTGTTTTGCTGTCTGTGTACCCAGCAAGTAACTATTTTCAGCAAAATTCAGAAAATTTGACCAGAGGAGGCTCAGGACTGGAATAAGAAAAAATTCTGGAGGTCAAAAACTGAAAGCTTAGATAATGCATATGTGAAAGTGTGTTGCTCAGTTTTGTGTGCACGTCAGCAACAGGGTATAACCCTGCTGCCTCACCAGTGTTTAAATAACTTTTTCTATTTTTAAAAATTCGTCTCTTTCCTTTGTAAAAAAGACCCAAAACAACACAGAGACATTCATGGCTACACAAAACCAACAAAACCATCACTACAATGTTCTGCCCAATTGTGTAAATAAACAAACTGGAAAAAATCCATCAGCATACTGTAGTAGTATATTAAATCTCCAGCTTGAATTTGATCTTCCTGTTGAGTGTGCCCATTAAAAAAAAAAAATAGAAGTTACAAAGTTATGTTCAATTATAAAATGCAGGTGTTGTATTTCATAGCCTCTGAATAAGAAGTATGTGAGTATCACAGTAAATGTCATTAGGGCAATTTTGAGGGTTCATCTAGTACAAGGTGTCCTACTGCCTGAAGACACCCGCTATGGAAATTGCTAAATTGCTGGAAATGTGGTATGACAGCAAAAGGCAAAAAAAAGTGAAAAACAAGTGAGCTGATGCTTCTTTTCAGGCAGAAGCTGTAATTCAAATGTTTATTGGGAATCACTGCTATCTCCATACATGGTAAAACAGTAAAAATAAAGCAGAGTCATGCAGTTATAAGTTTACAATGGACAATGGCAGTGATTGGGAAAAGCATTTCAACTAAGTGTGATTTTTTCAAACAAAACTGTTTCTTCTTCAGAGAAAATACCAAGTTTTGAAGAAAAATTGCTGTTCCAAAACTCCCAAAATTCTCATTCCCACCATCTTTTCTGCATGTAAAAGTCTACCTCAGATTTATGACCAGATCCAATGAAGACAACAGGGGATTTTTTCCTCACTGAGTTTTTAACTGAATGCAGCAATTCAGAAAGCTGAGCAGAAGACAGTGCATTGTGCTCAGAGCAACCAGAGTAATAATCACTGAAAAAATGTGTTCAGAATGGTAGATAATTGTATTATTATTAAATAAAATTAGCATATATTAAAAAATCGGGCATAAATGCACTAACATTAACTGCAGGTTTGCTTCTTAAATATTTCATCCTACCTCATTATTGACTTCAGCAGGTTTTTTCTTTGTTTCTCCAATGTCCAAATAGCTGTGGAAAGAAAACAGGTTTCATCATTTACAGAAGCATCTAACTTACACAGTACAAATATTTCTTCACTTTTTTCATACATGAAAGTTTTAAAAGTTGTCATGTCTCACAATAACAGAAAAGTAAGTAATTCAAGATTTTAATAAGAGACTGTTAAAATAAATCTGAAGGCTATCTCTCTGGGCTAATACAAAAGATGGGGAGAACCAAACACTGGTGATTAGAACAGACCATCAATAAACCTTTCATCAGAAAGAAGTTCATATACTACTGTGAGGTGGATCAATAAATCTCAGCACAGCATCAATTTACCCGAGTTTTCAAAAGTCATCATCTTGCCTCCTCGTTTCTCACAGTAAATCTCTGCTAGATCTAAAGTTTTCCTCCACACCTGAGTTTAACTCAGGGCATCAGCTAAAGTGTAAGAGGATTTACACCAGTCGTGTTTCAACAGAATGTGGCCACATCTGAACACTGGTTTCTTGTCACTGGATGAACCAATAGCATCTTCATGACTGATTTTTAAATAGACAAAATACAAGTCTCAACTGGACAAGCAAACAAAGCACACCTATTTGAACGACACCGCTCTCCATCAGAATGCACATTCCCACTAAAAAACATTGCATTAACACGAAAGTGGTAGTTGAAACACATAGTGATGGATTAGCTGTACGTTGCCTTCCCAAAGAAAGGGAATTAAATAAGTCTCCAGGTATGAGTAACCCATAGACTGGCAAATAGGCAACTACCCAGGTACCCGGACCATGCTCACTCCTTTCCCTTATCAGCACTCTGAGAGCCATGAGAGCAGCGCTCCTGGTGAACACAGCTCTCAGTAGCTCCTGGTACTGCAAGATGTTTCAAGTTCTCAAGGCTGTAGAAGAAGAGAAGATGTAACTCAGTACAGCCACACCTTCTGCCAAAAGCTAAACATGGGAACAACAGTGGCTGGGGCATCTATTTTGTGCTGGGAGCATCTAACCCAACATTAGGTAATGGGTATTTGTCATCTCTGCTCCCACATCCAGTGGAAAACCACAGGTGCTTTACCTGGCTTTTAGGAGTAGAAGACCTTATTTGAGAAATCAGGTATACCTAATGCCAAGCATCAGTGCAGGCTCATCAAAGGACCTGAGAGCTCTCAATGCATCTGCAGTCATCCAGTAATGTCATGTTCTGTAGTTAATGACTGGGATAACATTTGTTTGCAAGAATAAACTTTTCTGCCTGGTCAAAGTTGAGAATTCATGCAAATGGAATGAAGGTGTAGAACCAAGGAAAAAAAAAAAAGAAAAAAGAAAGAAAGAGCACCATTCATTCTTTGAATCATATATCAAGGTACCACAAGGTATGGTCACAAGGATTCCAAGGCTTCAGGGTGAGGGGACAGCAAGATCCAGCAAGGCTCCCAGGCCATGCTTAAAAGTGCATGCCAATGCTTTGGAAAAGATAAATGTAGGTAGGATAGGTAGTAAGGTAGGATAATATTTGTTAAAGTCCCATGTTTAAAAACAAACAAAAACATCTTTTCCAAGCTTCCCAGTGTAAAAAGGAACAAATTCTCTTGAGACCAACACCAAGAGGTCTTGCGGCCTGCAAGACTGAAAAGAAATAAATGCCTCAGGTGAAATTGTTCCAACAGCCTATAAGAACAGCTACTGACTTGTTTTCTGGGTATCTGTAAATTACTTTGAGAAGAACTAATAAAAGTGACAAAGAAAAGCAAATACACAGTCAAAGGCTTAAAATCACTATGCAGAGGTCCAGGCGTTTCAGGGATCTGCAAATCTGAAAAGTTCTAAATAGGGCCAAAGGCTTTTCTTTGGATGATAGCACTCAAAAAAATCACAGACCAAGAACTTTACAAAAATATTCTCCCTTTCTAAGAAACCAGAAATACTTCCACTCGATGACTAGCCAAGCCAGTGATGAGACTAGTGTTGTTTAAAGCGACACTGCTGGAGAGAGGACAACCTACCATTAATTAATGAGCACAAATACAAGTAAATGGGCAAAGGAAGGAGGAAGGTAAAGTAGCATATTGAAAAAAAAGCAAAAAATCGAAATCCGCTTCAGCATAGGCAGCTTTCTTTCAGGAAGCTCAGAGCTGGGGATGAACTCAGAGGGGTGCAGGTATATATATGCATTATTACTCATCATCACAACAACTACAATACACCAATACACCTCACCACATATAGACCAAAAAGCGTGTGTTCACTTGGCACATCTGTAAATGACAAAACAAGCTGCAAAACTTGTTATATTGCTACAAAACATCCCAACACTGAGTAATAATTCCACCTTTAAAGAAAATGTCTATGTATTTTTTCTAAATGCAGAATTTCTACATGCTGATTGTTTTTTATTTATTTTAAAAAATTAAACATATCAGTAGTTATGTAGAATATATACCCTCAGAGCTATCTATCCCAAGATGCTAAGATTCAGGGCTTGAAATGATAAGTGGCTCACACGCTAAAGGTACGTGTAGTTTAGTCTAGAATTCACTGCAAACAGGAAAGAAAAAGATTCAGTTCTCAGTGTAAGGCACCTGAGAAGAAACAAATGCACTGCTTGAAGAGGAACAATGACACTTTCAACTTCTGCGTCTTCTTGGATACTCTCTCCCTTACACTCCTGCAGCTCCCATACATCAGTGCCACTAAACTCCATTTCAAAGTTGAGCCCTGCATAGTCTATCATAGCAATGAATATGTCCAATAAGCCTCACTGGGGAAAAAAAAAAGTAAGTAAAATTATTCCAACTTCTCGCTGCCATCAGACCGACTCAGATCCTTCAGGGCAGAAGCCTGGTCTCTCATAGCTGCAACTGCTTTATGTTTGCCTGTGTCACATTAAATAAGTATACACTCTTTCCTTTAATTTCTTCAATTCCTGTCAAAAAATTGTCCCAGCATAATATAAACAAATACTAATAATGAAGAACTCCAACTCTGAATGCAGAAATGGAAAAGATCTGAAGTCAACTCACTTTTCCTCCATACATCACAGGACTATGACATTTTATCAAGGGTTATATAAACCAGCTGCTTTTACCAAGTCCTTTAAGTTAGCTTTTCTTAAAGTATTCTCTTTGTTGGCCTTAAAAATTAGGTACCTTGTTGCATGTTGCAACCATAACAGTCTGGAAAGGTCTTTCCCCATAAAACTCTGACCATAAAGTGTGAACTGACAAAAAGAAATGCTTTTTCCCACCCAAAAAACCATCCAGAGTGTTCAATTCTCTAAAGAGTGCCTCCTAATGCCAAACACTCAGTTACTTTTAGCCTGTCAAATACAAAACACATTTAGAGGGGCGTAACATGATGTGCTGACAACTAAAAACTTTAAGCCATCCACAGACTCACAGGATTTAACACCAAAAAGATACAGCAGATCTTTCTTGAGAGTTGAGCGCTGCATTTGACACAGAAGAGAGTACTGTGGGAAAGGGACTTACATTTAGCCTTACAGATGTAGTCATACATCTTTCTCTCTAGCTTTGCCACTGAAGCACAAGAACCTTCAATAAATCTTCAGAAGCAGCTAGTGACAGAAATGGTAAGGGTGCTGATAGAGATCCTGTTAATTACACAGAGAGTGTTGTCATGAAACATGAGCTCATAATGAGCTTTCCTGAAAAATGTAGTGTCCGCAACTCTACAGAACCAAGATGAGGAAGACCCTGTAAAGCTGATAGTTTAGCATATAAATACTCAATGACCTCCAGAAAGGGATTGTTAATTTTGAGATTTATTTTTTTTTAATTCAACTGCAGGAAAAATGCACACAAAGACTGAAGACAACATATAATATGCAATTGAGACCGTAAAATTCACTGCCAGAATTAAGAACCATTACTGTTCACATGCAGAGCCACTCGCGGAAAACACCTAAAAGCCCAGACCTCCTCCACATTATTCTTCCAGTGACTCACCAAAAATAGAGAAACTGTCAGCTTAATTCTTGGTGTCCAGGTAGGAAAAAGAAAGCAAGTGGTCATCTTTTAAATAACAGGAGGGACTCAGCTGTTCTGGTCAAAAAAAAGCTACATGCCTATGCAAAATGAACAGAAGTGATGGAGAGGTGGATAACTGGGTAGAATACTTTAGACTTTAAAAAAAAAAAAACTAGAAAGGAACCATGGGGAATTAGATTCCCAGGCTCATCAACTTCGTGGCAGGACTGTCAACACTCCACCTTTTTACAGCTTTCCCCCTGTTACTCCTGAGCACAAATACTGATACTCAGCCCTTCAGTTAAGCACAGGCATCACAACAACGTGCCATTGCTGCATGTCCTGCAGGTTAAAGAGCTGTTTCTCCTTTTGTACTGTCACGTCAAGGAGATGGTATATGCGACTGATGGTATCAGCAGCCTTTCTGTGGCTCACCTCTAAAGCTCTTTTCCTTTTGCCTTGGGTCACAGCCTTTATGTTCTCTTTCTGCAATGCCTAATAAAAGGGATGTGATGGGGGGGTCCTCTGAAGTATTGCCACGGTGCCAAGCCCCAAATGCTGATATTCAAGTTCCGCACAAATGTTACGTTACTTTTCAGCCACTTACTTGAGTTTCTTGAAGGCTTCCCTGCCACCAGCCACATACTGCTCTCCACTCTGGAGCTCCTCCAGCTGCCGGACACGATGCCCACCCCGGGGGGTATAGATGTTCCGCACAGCTCCAAAGGGTGCCTTCACCCCGCCTGTCACCTCTTTCAGGAATACATCAAAGTTGGACACTTTCTTCTCGTGGATGACAATACGGCGCCCCGGGAAGAAAGGGTCCCCGTTGCGATACACCAGCACGCTCTTCACCGTCGGCTGCGAGAGCCAGGAGCCCTTTGTGCCAGGACTAGTCATGCTCGGTGGCTTCAGATCTCCTGCGCAGCCCAAGCCACACAGATGAGCTGCCTGCACCTGTTGGTTCAGGTGAGGGTTCCTACCCAGGCGCCCTTCTCGCCCTGACAACTCCCAGCCGGGGCCCAGGCACATGGGCACACCTCCCGGGAAGCAGAGGAGGGCTCACAGCACCCCCGGGGCCCGGGCACAGCTCTGCTCAGCCTGTCAAGAGCGGCTCCTCCCAGGCAACCAGCGCTCGCTGCTCGGGGCGCCTGAGGAGGTGAGCGCGGAGGAGAACGCCAACCCAGGCGGGAAAACACGGCGTGGAAACCGACCCGGCGCGGCAGGTACACGGACTGCCGGGGACCCGCGGCCTCCCAGGGTCTTTATCCTCCGGTGCTGCCGTCACGGAAAGCGCTACCACTCTAGTTCCCTCGGGAAATTTTATCCTGCGTGTGACCCGGGGCCACCGGGGGAAGAAGGGCGAGGGGGGCGGCGTGCCCAGAGACAGGCAGAGGGGCGCGGTGCGACGGGGGCAGAGGGAGCGGGACCACGAGACCGAGGGAGGGAGGGAAATAGCGGCTCTGCCTCCTTCTCCCCGAGCGCTGCCCGTCCCCTGCAAGGGAAGGGCCGGCGGCCGAGCCGCCCTGAGCGGGGAACCGGCGGCAGCGGGGAAACGCCGAGCCGGCCCATCGCTTCCACTGGATTTTGGCGCACTGTGGGTGCAAGAAGCCGTAAAACCTGAGAGAAACTAAAACAGATGATGCCTTACATTCAAACATAATTCCTTTAACAACCTCTTTCCTCCGATGATAGTCCAAAGTTCTAAGACTGGACTAGACCTTCCTACCTGGAATTGTTTAGTGTACTGTAATGATTGTTCTTCCAAATGGGTTCTAACACGTGTGATGGAAGGAATTTTCTTTCCTTTTATCTTGCCTCCTTTGATGGGAAAATTACCCCCCCTGCTGTGAGTTACAACAGAGCAGTTAACCATTACAAAAAGAGCAGTTTCAGGGTGAGGGAAATCAAACATGCTACTGTTATTGGTTAACAGCAAAATTTCTCTGCTTGCTGCTGATTTCCTTCTAACTGATAAAGGGAAGAACCAAACATTTACTATCCTCGAATTAATACTGTTTAACATTGATCTATTGCTACCTGAAATTAAAATTTTGTTATTAAATATATGCTTCCGTGTAAAAAAGAAAAATGCTCATGACCTTCATACTGCATTGAAGCAGTGATATGTCAACTATCTGTTATTTTGTGCCAGATTCTACCACATTTGGTGATCTTAGGCCTAATTTGCAATCACTCAACATTTTTGACATAAGTGTAAGACACTGAATATTTTACTCGTGCACTCACACTTGTGCTACTCCAAAATACTGTTGGTCTTTACCTGTGGCCACACTAGTTAGTCACTTTATGGATTGCAGTAAAATATCCCTGAAATGGTACCAGAGTACTGCTAGCCTTAAAACAGCCTAGAACTGGTGGACAAAATATTCATCTAAAACTGGGGGAATATTATGAATCCCTTGAAAAACTGCAATGCAGAATTTTGCCTGTAGTTTAACCTTTACATAGTTAAGAGCTGTACCTCTAAAGACCTCATCTTTCAAATCCAACTGCTTGCATTTCTGCTCTCTACCCCTTTACTCGTGCTGCAGTGGAATCTCATCATTTTCTTACCCTTAAGGCAACACCTTCAAATCCAGCCCCTGAAACACAACATGACTGTCCAGCCCACCGCTGGACAGTGCCCACTATTTCACAGCAGTCTTTTCAGAATGAAACATATTATTTTCTTCAGTAATAGGAACAAACCAAATCAAAACAGAGTGTTTCCAACACAGTACAAAGTCGGCATGTTTTCCATCTCACCTAAGTACACCCACTGCCCGAAAGCTAAGAAAAGGTCAGATACTTCAGCCCATGACAGCAGTGCCTTGATCCATGACAATCTGCTTGTCCTAGCCTTTCCAGGGTCTGACCTTTTATTCCTGCTATATTGTTTCAGTTTCTAAGCAATCTCCTATCACATTCTCAACAGTAAGGAGACAAGCTGCTGAATGCAGAGACACATAATCTCTTCATGATGGAGTGATGTCAGACCTCTCATCTTACATGAGGTTGGTGCATGACACCACGTCAGGTCCTGTGTCAGGATCCCCTGAGGTCACATAACAAGTACATGTTGGGGGATGTGTTTTGGATGGCAGTTCCATGACTAAGCCCATCTGTGCTGGAGCTGTCCTTGCATTTTGGCTAAATAAAGAACAGCCATCATGCCAGTTTGTGTCAGTGAGCTTCTTCAACAAACAGTACATGAGCTTGACCCAGGGTGGGTTTTTGTTTTTGTTTGTTTTGGGTTTTTTTGTTGTTGTTTTTGGGGTTTTTTTTTGTTTTTTTTTTATTTGTTTGTTTTTATTAAATACAGCAAACCACTCCCAAAGGTTGGCACTGTAGGACAGACTGGATACCTGACATGTGCCTACAGCAGAAGCAACAAGCTGCTTGTTGGTATTTAGAGCTGCAATAACTAGATGGCAGTTCTAGATCTCCAGTTATCTTTTGTCAGCAGTAGTATAAAATCAGACATTCTGTCTGTGCTTCATAACTTGTCCCTGGCTGCCAGTTCACACCATGTGCTGCCTTCACCTCTAAATACAGAGGTGATACTTGGTTATTGTCTGCCCTTCCAGATAGTTGCAATAGTGACTGATAATGCAGCTATAATGAGATACAACACCAATGCCTCCTGGTACACTGGTCTATTGTATCATACATACCAGAGTTTGTATCAATATATATTCGGTGTGAAGTTATATCATCTTAGCAAGCCAGAACAACAGATGAGCAAAGGAAAACAAATAGATCAGTCCAGTAGCTTCTCCCTTTTTTATTGAGGGGTATGACATGTCAGCTGTGTGAGCACATTCCTGCACATTCATTAAATGTAAATTTCTGGCAGATATCCTTCAGATGCTTCTCTAGCTTTTGCATTCTAACGTGAAGAACCAACATAGGCTGCCATGAGTTGCCAGCAATGGTATGCATTGGTTTCCTGCCCTCCTGAGGTGTTTTCTGTGCTGTCTGGTATTTCCAAATTTTAAGTATCTCTGACATCCAAGAGTCTTACATTAGTGTTGCACATACTGCCACCTGCTGAGATTAACCAAAACTAAAGCTAGAATACTCTAAGTGGATTTCTGCCTTTTCAGCCAACATTTGCAGACAGGCAACTGAAACTGAAAACCTCTGATGGCTTCAGTCAACACATACAGGGTATGTGTAACTACTGAGGAACTTTTTTATGTAATTAATTCCTTGTGAGGTCATTCATCTTTGTGCAAGGTGTGCGTAAACCACCCTTCTAATTCTGTACATGTCAGTCCACTTTGGACAAAGGCTCATCTATGTATGTTAAGGTATGTATGTGCAAACAATAAGACAAATGCACAGGTGATGTGGTATAGGAACAGAGAGGACAGTGCTGGCCCTTGGGTGACTTAACTTTAACTTACAGCCCAGCTGAGAACAGTATTTGGCCCTGACACCCTTGTCTTCAAAACTCTGACCTGTGTTCCAGGCAGTGTTTAGACTTGCACCCTCCTCTTGGAGCAGCCACACTGTACGGATCATTTCATTAGCAGCGTAATCACTTCCTTTTTTATTTCCCTGCTAAGGATTAATGAGTGCTGTAAGTACACTCTGATAACGTGTCCCGCTGCAGGGCTTTGGATACAGGCTTTGCCTCCATATCAATTTACACGGTTCAGCAGAACCAGCCAAAGGAAGGATATTCCTGCTACCTGCATTACCCTTTTGCTGCAGTTTAAAAGGAACGTATAACAGCGGAAGCTATTAGTATGCTACTAATTAAACTTTTATATCTCAACCAACTAGCTTGTCTCTATTTTAGATACAGAAGCAGGGCAAGGAAATTTAATTGCAAGACCGTTTCTGGGGACAGAATTGTTCTGCACTTGAGAAAAAAAAATAATGTTCTGCATTTGGAAAAAAAAAAAAAACACCGCATTTTACGAGTAAAATCTTCAGGAAGTGGCTGAATGCGGCAGGGAAAATCCCAGCCGCGGGAAGGAAAATCCCGGCTACAGCGAGGTGTGCTCGCGTTATCGAGGGCTGCCGGAGGTGGAGTTTTAAGAACACTTATGTCTTGGAAAGGAGTTGTCCATTTAACTGAATCTTCAGTTTGGACCTACCTTATTAGGGGAGCTCAGGCGAGCTTCACGGCGTTCTTGGACTTCCCCCCCCTCCCCCCCTTTTCACAAATCATCACGTACAAAATCCAGTTAATTTCAGTGGGGTTGAGCACAGGCTGAGCGAGGAGGTGGTTTCACAGATTTCACAGATCATGGGTTTGTGCACATATTAAACAACGCCTACGAACCTCCAGCGCGCCAGCAGGCGGAACAGGATACCCCAGGTAAATACAGCACCGTCTCGTCGGTACTCGGCGCCCGTCACCGGCTCCGCCCCACGCCGTCGATCCCCGAGCCGGCCCCGCTCCTCCCCTGGTGCGCAGTGGTGACCCGTCACCCCGCGGGCTCCGCCCTCGCCGCGGTTGCGCGCTGGGAGCGGAGCGGTGCGGGGCCGATGCTGCGGGGGGC